ATCAGCCACTGAAATGCGGCTGTATGCAGGTGTGTCGGGGGCGGGGGTCCTTAGAGAGAGAGAGAGAGAAAGAAAGAGAGAGAGAGAAAGAGAGAAAGAGAGAGAGAGGGAGAGAAGAGGAAAAGCACACTTACCTGCGCCCGTTGGGCAACGGGCTGCAGACCGCCGCCGCACCTGGCGCAGTAGGCRTCCGGGTACGGGTGCRCGGAGGCAGGAGGAAAGAAGACCCTGTTGAGCTTGACTCTAGTCTRATTCTGTGAAATGACTTGAAAGGGGGGGSGRATGTGCTCGTTCGTTTTCGAACGACGAGCTGCCCCTGCTGTAGGGAAAAAAAAAAAGCCACAAAGAAAAAAAAAAGGGGGGGGGAAGAAGTTAGAAGAAAAAAGAAACGGYCRCGGATCTAGCCGCGGMSTCGGTCCAGATGCAAGTTTAGAAGCATCTGGACTGTGAATAGACTGCAGACTGTTGGGTTCAACAGTCTGCTGGAAAAAGGGTTGGTACAGCCGTTTCGGGGCTGCGTCTGGCCGCGGGTGAAGGCCAGATGCACTGCCAAGGTTCAGAGCTTGGTTCCCCTAGGGGAACATCAAGTTCCCTGGCCTTTTGATCGCGAGTTTGATCTAGGGCCAGGTTCTATTCCGAGATTTGGCTGGGGGCAAAGCAACTGCCCTCAGCCTTCAGCCAGCTATAAAAGCTAGCCTGCCACCCAGCAGCCTCACACTTGTGGCAATGCTGCTGGGGCATTCTACTTGAGTAGATGCTGGCTGGCTGGCTGCTGGTGTGATGAGRCGAAGTGCTGGAGGTCTGCGGTAGCACTTRGAGGAAGGAGGAGGCAGCCATAGCTAAAGGCTAGGAGCTTCTTGCCCCACCTTCYGTGYTGTGTTGMGGGCTATGGGRAAGCCGTAGCCTTGAGGCTGCCGCTGGATTGGGTGGTACGGCGGAAGCGYTGCYRAAACGGTGCGGCRGTAGCGCTGGTTTCTTGGCGGTACGGCGGAAGCGCTGCCGAAATTGTGCGGCGGCAGCGCTGRTTTTCTTGGCGGTACAGCGGAAGCGCTGCCGAATTCTTGCAGYGGCAACATCGATTTTCTTGGCGGTACGGCGCGGGTGCTACTGGATTKWRKGGCAACGGTATTTTGCACARGACTGCGAGAAAGGGGGTTRGACGTTGCCGCAGGGACGATACYGCCAAGGTGGAAGTGCACTTTGTAATAGAAAGGGCSTGGCGATCGTCTTGTTGAGGACATTGCGGCACRCRGTACCTGTAACGACTGTTAAGGCCGCCGTTATTTTTTTGCGGCACACTGAGTAAGCGGGGATYGGGTCCGAGACCACCAAGTATTGCGGCAGGCASGTGGTGGCATGACTTGGTATTTGGTGGGTTGAATCGGTGCTGTCTTTGGTGGAAGGTGTGACATTGAGGCTGTGGGATTTGAGAGTGTGACGCCCTCCTCAACGGCGGGCTCGCTTCTGTGTTGGTGAGCGGCGCCTGAGTCAGAGGTGGCGGTTGAAGGAGGGTGTGACCCATCCTTGTCAGTGGCCACAACGAGAGTTTCGCGGCCGAACTTTTTTCAGCAAATACTTGACTTTTTTGAGTGAGCCTTCAAGGAATTCACTCAAGGTCAGTGCGACTCAGTTCCTTTACACACCGGCGTGAACCCACACCTTGCATGACCTTGCTTTGAATTCAGGGGAAAGGGTTGAGTGAGAGTGTGATGTCATGTGTGTGGAGAAAGGACTGACCTGTTTGAGGGATGGATGAATCTGTGGATTGTTTCTTTTCCTGATTGTGCAGGTAGGTTGGGAGATGCACGTGAGAAGGAATCAACATTGTTTGCTCGAGATAATAATCGGGATGCTTACCTCTCTCTCACTCAACCTGAATGCATGTGACGGAAAAAAGGAGGAACAAAAATAATACCGGAAGTGCGAACGGACGCGTGCCGGAAGAACGAAGGCCGTGGGGAAAATTAAAAGAAGAAAAGACAAGGGAACACCTTAGTATCTTCCCAAGGACTTCACCATTCTATCCCGAGCGACCATTATCCTCTTATGCCCGTCTAAAAATATTTTACTTCTTTCTCTTCTTAATTCGTCTAAGTCGACCTTTAGCCGGGAAGGCATAGAGCGGT